CCTGAGCATCCGCCAATTTGTGCTACGCTCTACCTTATCTTAAATACTCTAGCCTCCCCCACTCACTTTTAACCACATTTTCAATCACTTTTATTTTCCTGGATCAGGAGTATATACTAGTATAGTTAGTTGGTTGAAGAACGAAGCCACGTACAAAAGTATAATCGATTACAACAGTTTTGGGGCCGATATTCATAGAATAAAGGTTTTAAATAAAATATTCACTTCTACTTTCAAAAGGACTGGCCCATTTGCTTTAAAAAAAATGTAGAGAGTTATTATTATGTAATATCTAGAAAAAATGTCTACCACATGATTTACCGAGTTGCTTCCTTTTATCAAATATACACGTAAAACAAAATGAGGACAGACTGTGCGGATAGCAAACCGCACGGATCGTCCCTCGGACGATCCGTGCGAGTCACGGACGATCGATGCGAGCAGAAAACCCGCATGTTATGTCCGACGGACAAACGAAACTGGTAGGACAAACGGTGCGGTCACACCGGGTCTATGCCGAACAATATAACCGACGCCAATATATTAAGAATCAAACAACAAAAATAATAAAACAATGTAGTGAAACAAAACAAATAATAACATTATTATTATTATTATTATTATTATTATTATTATTATTGTTACTATTATTATTATTATTATTATTATTATTATTATTATTTTTTTTTTTTTTATTTTTTTTTTTATTATAATCAATTATTATTATCATTATCACTATATCAGAATCTATTATGTGGATTCATTTTAATTCATTTTGTTTAGGCTTTGAGTTTATATTAGGAGCAGTTTATTTGCCTTGTGAAGGGTCAGTTTATCATAGTAATGATGTTTTTGATCACCTTTATCAGGACCTATTATATTTGAAAAGCACATATAATGTGCCCTTCAGCCTAGTAGGGGACTTTAATTCAAGGACTGGGTTACTTGACGACTTTATGGTAATTGATAATGTTATTTCTGAATTTTCAGGTTATTGTTCTTCAAATGATAATGTTGATTTTAAGAGCTCGCTTACTGATGATGGATATGATACTAGGAGGCATAATATGGATTCTTCTATTAATAATAATGGTAGACAGCTTATTGGCATTTGTCAGAGTTTTGACTTGAAGATAGTGAATGGGAGATTTGGTAGTGATAAGGGTGTTGGTAGCTTTACATGTTACAATAAAAATGGAGGGAAAAGTGTGGTTGATTATGTCATTGCATCTGTTAGTTTATTTCAATATATTACTCATTTTGAGGTTGACATTTTTGATAAGTGTGTTTCAGATGTACATTGCCCATTGAATCTGATGTTTTCAAATAAACTGATTCCTATAAATGAAGATGTTGAATTGAGAAAAATTGAAAATAGGGTTGATGCTCCCGAAAAAGTGAAATACACTTCATTTAAGTGTTCTAAAGAGAAGGATGACTTCTCAACCATTTCCAATGCATTCATCATGAATGCATTGGAAATGGTTGAGAAGTCATCGACACAAGGTAATATGGATAATTTTAGTACTGTATTGGCAAATTCATTTTTGAAGACGGCAAAGGAAGTCGGTATATGTGAGGATAAAGTCTGTAAGAAAATTCATTCTAGGAAACTTATCGTGGAGAAGAAACCATGGTTTGACACAGAGTGTCAGCATGCCAGATCAAGATATTTTAATCTAAAAAATAGAATTAAACGACAGTGCAAAGGTCTAACTTTGAGTGATAAAGAACAAAAAATGGCTGAAATTAATGCTGTTGCAAAAGATTATAGGAAATTGCTACGTAGAAAGGAGAAAGCGTACACTAGGCTCTTACACAACAATCTGCATATACTTAAGAAGGATAGTCCTCAAGAGTATTGGAAAATTTTGGATGGACCGAAGCGTAGCTCTTGTCCAGCCAAGGTCTCTTTAGATGATTTTGTGCAACATTTTAGTAGTTTGAATAATGTGCAATGTGCAGCATCTGAAACACATTATGTGGATTTTGACCAGTCAATGGGCAATGATGAGCTGAATGCCCCTATCTCGGTTGATGAAGTTATAAAGATTATCCAGAAACTAAAGAATAATAAGGCATGTGGTGTAGATTTGGTTAGAAATGAGTTTTTGAAAAATTGTTCAGCAGCTGTAATTGGTTGTATTACTGTTTTTTTTAATGTAATACTGGAGAGTGGTCTAGTACCAAAAGACTGGTGTCTAGGTAGTATAGTCCCTATTTTCAAAAATAGAGGAAAGGATACAGATCCAGATAACTATCGTGGGATAACACTTTTAAGCTGTTTGGGAAAATTGTTTACTTCCATCTTGAATTATAGGATAACAATTTATTTCGAAAATGAATGCAAGCTTGGAGAAGAACAGGCTGGCTTTCGTGCTGGCTATTCTACAACAGACCATATTTTTGTTTTGAAATCCCTGCTTGACATTTACTTGTCTAAACGGAAGAGAATTTACTGCGCTTTTATAGACTATAGAAAAGCTTTTGATATGGTTGATAGGGTTTCACTTTGGCACAAATTATTGAGGTCAGGGGTGGATGGTAAGGTGTTCACAGTTATTAAGAATATGTATTCTCAAGCAAAATCGTGCGTGATAGTAGATGGTCAAATGTCTGAGGCTTTTCAATGCGATGTTGGTGTTAGGCAGGGTGAAAACTTATCACCACTGCTCTTTGCAATATATCTTAATGATTTCGAGGATTTTCTCAGTAAACACTTTAAAGGTCTCAAATTTTTAGTTGAAAATGTATGTGCTGACATTTTAGATAAAGAAGTAAACAAAGATCTTTTCTTACAATTATACACATTGTTGTACGCAGATGACACCCTAATATTGGCTGACACAGCAGAGGAATTGCAAGTGGCTTTGAATGCCTTGTCTCAATATTGTAAAATTTGGAAGTTAAGTGTTAATGCTATGAAAACTAAAGTACTTATATTTTCAAGAGGCAAAGTACGTAAATTTCCAGTTTTCAGATTTGGAGAAGATGAAATTGATGTTGTGGATGATTTTGTATATCTTGGGGTTCAGGTTAATTATAATGGAAGTTTTAAAAAGGCTATTTCAAAACAGGTATCACAGGCCAGGAAAGCCCTCTTCTCTATGTCATTAAAGGTTCAAAGACTCAAACTGCCACTGGATATTCAATGTGAATTGTTTGACCAACTTGTATTACCAATACTCATTTATGGATGCGAAGTGTGGGGATATGAAGATCTGAGTCAAATTGAAATATTCCATAGAAAATTTCTCAGGTCAGCGTTATGTGTAAATAAATTTACACCAGATTGTATGATATATGGAGAAACTGGGAGGGCATGGCTAGCTAACAGTATCAAACATCGAATGGTTAGTTTCTGGTTAAGAATAGTAAAAGGTTCTCCCTCTAAATATTCAGTCAAATTTTATTTTTTGCAAAGGTTAATTAGTCAGAATGTAGATATGTCTACTTCTTTCAAGTGGTTATCTTGTATTGAAAAAATATTGAACCATGCTGGTCTTGGTATTGTTTGGCTAAAGCAAGGGGAAGGATTTAGCAATAGTTGGATACTGAGCACTCTGAAGTTGAGATTAAACGATATTTCAAAACAAGATGTGATGGCAACAATTTGGACAAACAGTGTGTGCCTAAATTATAGGATCTTTAAAGAGGATTGTCTCTTTGAAAGGTATTTAGTTTTGCTAAGTAAAAAAGATAGAATAACACTGAGCCGTTTTAGATGTAGGTCACACCGTTTACCAATTAATAATAACAGATTCAAAGAAGCTGTTAATGAAATTAGTATTGAATGCCCATGTTGTGATATGCATGAGTCTGGTGATGAATTCCATTATGTTTTTGTATGCCCTTTTTTCAGAAAGGAAAGAGAGTTATATTTAGGTCGCAAAGTAATAGTTAAACGCCCTTGCACATCACACATGTTGAATTTATTTTCATGTTCCGGTATAGGACAGCTGAAGAAATTAGTAGTCTTCTTAAGGATAATAATGTCATATTTTGCTCGTCTATATACATGTAAATCTGAACAATCCAATCATATGTCGCCCATAAAAAGAAATGTTACAACCCGAAGTGGTAGGATAATTAAGCAACCAACAATTCTTGATCTGTAGTACAGTCTTTCTTTAGGTCAAGTATAGTTTTGATGGTTTGTTTGTTCTTTTGTTCATTTTTTTTTTGGGTTTTTTTGTTTGTTAGTATACTTTTTGTTTTGTTTGTCTTATTACATTATATTCCATTATGTTTTTGTTTGTCCAATGGACGATTATGGCATATTTTGTTAGTCTGCATATATCTTAACAATCCAATCACAACTCACTTACATGTACAAAAATGAAACTTATAATTTCTTTTTTAGTTAAGACAATAATGTATTTAAACAAAAAAAATTTGTAAAATTATTTTTTGTTTTTATCTTTCTTTTTCTTTGTGTTTGTATTTAGATTGTTCATGTGGTATTTTCCACTTTTCATGTATGCTTGCCATATTGTATAATATTGTATTTATGTTTAGCATAGGCTAGGTTTAGATCATTCCTATTTATCGTTATACTTTTATATTGTTGTTTTGTTGTATTCTGTATTCTTTGTATTATTAAGCTATGTTTGTATTCTTTATTATGTATCATTATCATGACATGTACATGTGTTGTACTCTCATACCCCAGAAGGGGGTCGAATGAGTCAATAAATTCTATTCTATTCTATTCTATTCTATTCTACTATATTATATTGTTATTGTTATTGTTATTATTATTGTTATTATTATTATCCTTATTGTTGTTGTTGTTTTTATCATTATTATTATTATTATTATTATCGTCATTATCAAACATCATCATTATTATCATATTATATCCTCATGCAGCGCACATAGCGCGAGTGCGCTACTACCGTTAGCTATGAAGTGGAATCCCCGATGAAGTGCTGTAGCTAGCTAGACCAAGGAGGATCTCTTTGCTATGACTGAGTACACAAGGAAAAAAGTGAGTCCGCGCCGCACGTACGATTGGGCGCCTTGTTATTGTGTGATATGACAAGCTGACAAGAGACTGTTCATGGGATTTAATGTTACTCCTGTAATCTGATCTGAGGAGGCTTAGTTTGTTGCATCTGATCTTTGATGTACTCCCTTTGATATATTTCCTTTGTCTTTCATTGTACTGATAGAAGTAAGATTGTGTTGACTAATTGGAAAGCAGCACCAAACGAAACCCCATTCAGGATGACGTAGCGTATGGAAACAGGTTCGTAACAGATCCCGTGTACTTGCATCTGTGTAGTGTTAGCCTACAGTTTAGTGCTTTGCATAAACAACAATAAAATGATTGTTGAAATAGATCTACTCACTGTTGGTCCAAAATCATACTGCTACTTATTAGTGTTTTACTAATTACTACGACTAATAAATTAGTTCTTTAATTTCTAGCTAATTCACACCTCATAATCATGTAAAAAACTGAAGAAATCTACGCTGATTTTCCGGCGCTTGTTCAGAAGCCTATCCAAAATTTGACCCGTAACTCCGGCGTGGAACATACCCGAAACATACCCAAAATGAAGTAAATATTCATTAAATGTCCAAATAAAGATCATGAGTTAAAAGTTGTTATGTTTATTAGACCCTACCTGTTTCATGTCAATTTTCTTGTTATTTTTAGAGTATTTTTCAGAAAAACGTTGATAGTCTAGATCTAGTAGGGTGTCTGATCGCGCACCCGATGTTGTGTGCTAAAATACTTCCCATAGAGATTGCACACATCCCTATGCAGTCTACGTGCATTGCGCGACCATGAAAATTGGTCAATGATTTTATGAAAAAAATTGAAATTCAATCCTTTGGGGCTTGTGATCCTGAAGGTGAAACTCAATAAATGAGGTGTCATATGAAAGAGCAGGTTTTTCTCCATATTCCCCAAGGGGGCGCACCCCCGAAATTCTAAAAATATCTTGGTCAAAACAGCGATTTAAATGTTGTTTGCATCCTAGCTCCAAAATTTGCCACTTTCCTTATGTCCGGCTAGACGTAAGGAAAATATGTATGCACTTATTTTTTCGCTAGCCCCAAGAGATCACTCGCCCCAACAGTTTAAAAATACCCTTCCCACATTTTTGGAATCAGCTAATTAGGGAGGCGTGAGCTCCGCTCAGTCCAAACCATGGTTACATCGCGTAACATCTGCGCGTATAGTGAATGAAAGTATGGATAGCTGTTCGCGCCATAGAACCCGGAAGTGAATACACGTTGTAGTCAATGGCAAAATTGCCATTGACTACAACGTGTATCGGAAGTGAATACACGTTATAGTCAATGGCAAAATTGCCATTGACTACAACGTGTATTCACTTCCGGGTTCTATGGCGCGAACGTACTAGTCAATGGCACATATCGCGGAGACAGCGTGGCTCAAGCTGCAAGTCTCGCATTGGCTTAGCAACATGCCTACGATATGCATACGCTTGCATATCGCGCGATACAGCTGTTTGTCTGAATTTAGCAAAACAACAACACTCTGCGTGGACGTCTTTTTCGTCGATTTTGACCAAAATGATATGAATATACCAGCGTTTTGGAGGGGCTGTATCTTTTGATAGAAACATCGGTGAGACTTGAAATTTGAAATGTATTATTCTGATTACATTTTTTATTCAAATAACAAACAAAAATGGTGAAAAACGATCCCAAATTGAAAATTGAAAAATCGTTCAGACACCCTAGATCTAGGTCTATTAGTAGACCTCTAGAGTAAAGGAGTCGGTTTTCTGCCTAAGACAAAATCCTATTTTTTGGACCCTTTACATCCTATTTATTATCATTTCTTGTTCAAATCATGAAGCAAATATTATTATTATTTAAACAAACAAAGAATCCCAGAAAAAAATCACGAATTGCCATGACAATATTCATTTCAATTTTCACTGTTTTATCGACCTAGTGAGTCAGTTTACGACCCAAGTACAAAGTCAATAGGAAGCGCACATGCGCGCCGTGCGTTTCCGCGCTGATCTATAGCACAAGCGGGCGGAGCAGGTATCCCACGCCAGAGCTCCCCGGTGCTCGCTTGGTCGAAAACTAGCACTGCGGTGATCGGAAATTGGAATCTGAATTAGACAGACATATCGTGTGTGCGTCGCGGTGTTCGGCTGCATTGATTTAATACATGCGATGAGATACTTTTGAGCTTGCGACTTACACAAAATCGGGCTCTAAATCTGAAAAATACTTGAAATAAAGCTCATTTTATGGTACCCATATTTCTTACAGACACGCGTAAGATACTCGATTTTTCAGATTTGGGTAGCGGGACCGCCGATTACATCGCTAAAATGTGACATTTTAGGAAATATTTTCCATTGCAAATGTGGTTCTTCAGTGACTCTGGCATGGTATGGTATGTGTGGGATATGTGTTATGCTATTATGCGATGTATTTTAAAGGGATTTTATCATGCATCCAACGGATCAGCCGAAAACTGGAGCTGGTCAATTACCCCCTCCTTCACTCTATACACTTTTTCACAGGTTTCATGGCAACCCTCTGCTCAATACAAGTGCATACCGATGTTAGGTTGCGGGCTGGCACGTGCCTGTGTGAAGTTATCCACCGTAATGTCTCAGATCCTCATTACAGTATTTCTTATTTTCAAAGGCATACCGTGCTAAAAATTCCTAATTCTGATTTTCAAATGTTGGCAGGAATGGACTAGAGCTAATCCACAAAAGTATGACAAGATTATATCTTTGACATCTATCACCTTGTTCATTTATATTCACCTACAGGTTAAAACCAAGAGTTGTGGCCATCCTATACCAAGTATAATTTTTACTGCTACATTTTGAGCTACAGGGCTGTCATCATGCTGTATGTATTTCTCGTGAACACGGGCGAAATGCTGACATTAGATATGGCTCTTACCATGGAGAGGTAGGTTTCATTCTTTAGTCTATCATTGTCATACTCATCGGCATCATCTTCAATATCATCAATATCATATTCAACATTATCATCCTCTATACCATCATCGTCACTCATCAACATCATCATCATTGTCATACTTGTCAACATCATCATCAATTTCATCATCATCACTATCATCAATACCATTATTTACCATCATCATCTTTGCTGCTCTCATTACCATCATCACCACCACCGCCATGACCACATCATCATGCTCAAAACCATGTCAAAAGAATTGATTTAGAAATATGAACACTTTTGTATGATTATATTTGAAATTTGCCATATTTTAACATGATTTAGAATGTATGACTTGATTTCATTACAAAAGCACACAATCATTACAACATAACGTATGACCAACCATATTTAATTTTTTACTTTAAACAAACCCATCGATCTTGATACCTTATTTTGAAATCCTTGTGTCCGTGAGCTAAATGATGTAACTTAGCATTTGTGGTGTAATATCATTAATAAAGTTGAGTATATTTTAGTATAATATTAATTAAATGGATTGTTTAACAATGTTAAATCTGAGATGCACGGCCCTACATGTTATCAGTGTCTGTGATATGGTGTTATACTGAAGCCCTAAAAAAAAAAGTGCCTCAAAAAAGTAAAAACCTTTGAGCGACCGGTATTACCATACTCGTTTTCCCCAATAGACTGTAGTGTTATGAAAACCGTTTGGCAACCGCAAAATTTGATTTCTATTTTCAATCATTAATATCTTGATAATCAGACAGGCGATCGGCTTGTAAAGTCATGGGGTTCCTGACTGACCTAAAGGTTTATAATTATCATTGCAGGATTTAAGACAAAGTTACCAAATCCCTTTAACAGGAATGCTTATGATTGATTGATGCCATGAAAAGAATGGACTCATTACAAACATACATGGATGTACATGTAACCAGTATTGTGTGACCAGGGTGGTGTTTCATAAAGCTGTATGACTTTACGAATGACTTATACATGAAAAGCCAAATGGGACGCTCAATCATTTTTTAACTGCATCAACTAAAGTTGAACTGTGCAGATGTAGATTAACACATTGTTAATACAAAGTATATTTTTTGCCATAATTTAATTGAGGTTATTGGAAATATAGTCACACTTTGTGAAAACATCAGGAAAAACTTTGGGCATCCTATCTGGCACTTCATATTCATATACATGTATATATGTATATATATTTTTTTTTCAATTTTAATTTTAATTTTTTTAATTAAAAAAAGAAAGAAATAAAACAATGGCCTTATGAAGCACCCCCCAGTATTATATTTCATTTTGACAAAGCTATCAATCTGATTACCTTTGAAATGCTAGTGTCCAGCAGCTTCATGATGCCCTGTCAGAGGAGTACCAGATCCCGCATGAGAAGCAGGTCTTACTGATCAGTGGAGGGCAGAGTTTAGATCCTCAGATGAGGGTCTGTAGCTACAGTGCTGGCACAGTAAGTGTACCATTCCCCCCCCCCCCCTAAACAAAATGAAACTGCTTTGAATGATAAAGGTTCCATGTTGCTATACTATATTCATGATATGAGTCCAACTAATACTTCTATAAAGATATAAAGCAAGTTTAAATACACCTTCAATTAATTTAAAAGCGACTTGTGTGTGTACGAGTTTATCCACCCGTATATCCTCACATAGTGAAATGCCAACACGGAACAAAAGTGGGACTTAGATTCAGTGCTAGGTGTTTGATGTTACTCTTTCTTTTCTTTATATTCCTGGTAGGAGGACATTCCTTGAGTGTTCTAAAGTGCCTTACTTACGATGGAGGCTTAGCTAAAACATGGATATTATTTATCATTAGCAATTTGTATTCCCAGGAAAAAGAGCTTCACATACTACTAGCCCTATTATTATTATGTTTTTCAACTTTTTTCCCTCCTTCTCTTCCTCTTCTTCCACCTCCTCTTCTTCTTCCTCCTCCTCCTCCTACTTCTTCTATTTCTTCTTCCTCTTCTCTTCCTCAATCTTTACCTAATATTTCTCCTCCTTCTCCTTTCCTTCTTTTCTTCATTTCCTTTTCCTTCTTTTCATCCTCTTCCTTCTCCTTCTCTTTCTCTTTCTGTTGTTCCTTCTCCCACTCCTCTTCCTTCTTCTCCTCCTCCACCTCCTCCACCTCATTCTTCTTCATCCTCCTCTCTCTCCCTGCAGGATACCAATCCTATCTTCCTGTTCAGTAAAGGAACCATTGAGTCTGCTAATCCACCTGTCACTACCAGTGTATCTCAGGCCAGAGAAGACAACCTCAAACTACAAGTAGAGGGGCTCAAGAACCTACCTCCTAGCTACAGTGCTGTGGTGGCACGCACTCAGCTAGCACTGGTAAGAAAGTTGCCATCATTTAATTCATATCCTGCCATAAGGCTGCTTGCACGCTACTGTTATAGTGCTTTGTAAACGCAGGCGCACTATTGATTGGTTGCTTCATTCATGCAAGCGAGCTACTGCTTATCTGGTTTGTGCATGCATGCTCGCATTTGTAATAGCAGTTCTTGTTCATGCCCATTGCACTGTGCCTACTGTTTCGCACACGCTATTGAGAGTACCATTGCGTTAATTCGATTATCTCAAAATTAACTTGGCTGTAGGAGGATTTGAGGCTTGGCACAATGGGGATTAGCCCTGTGGCATTAGCCTGTATTCATTATGGCAGGATAAGAGTTAAGTTAAGTTATTTTGCCATGGTGGTTTATCATATTTTGTCAGTGAGAGTTAATGGTTTAATTATTTACATGTCTTTTCTATAAAGCATGTACTCTGATTCATAGTACAGCCAAGGGTCAAAGGTCACAGCTATGCTCATAAGTGTATATTTTAGAGAAGTTTGGTTTCAGTTGGAGAGCTTATGTTCCAAGGATGAAATACTTTGAAATTCAGAACTTTGTATTGTTACCTCTGAGTGGCATTGATACAGGAAGTTATGATAAGACATTGATCTCACTGCCCTTGTTCAAAGGTTGCTCTAGACTCATCAAACTGCACTATCCTTTTTTTTCATTGTAGTTTGTATTATGTTCGCATGTATGTAATGTATGTATGTATCATGTATAAACACAATGTGCTACATATAACAGATTTTCTGTGATGTTTAAACCAATCTTACTTTCACATTCTTACTGTCCGAACCTCGCGAGTCTTCTCATTCTATTGTATCCCACAAGTTGGCCACTCAGTATTCAAATTTGCATTTTCTTTTCTTTTTTAAAATCTTTATATATCAATTTGAAATCCAACTACCACATAAGTCTGTGAATATTGATGTGCATCCCCTCTTTCTTTTCTCTTCTTTTTTCTGTATTTTGTTCCTCCATATTTGTATTATTATGTATCCTTTGAGGGTAGTCATACTATCAAGCTTTGCTTATTTTGTCAACCTTCCTGTTTGATGTTCTCGATTAGTTACACCCAGCCTTACTTTATTCTACATATATTCTTTTGTCATGTGTAAATTTGCAATATTTGTTTGTTATATATTTGTAAAAATGCAAAAGAAAAAGAAAATCAAACAGAAATAAATAAATCAAATCAATCAAATCAAATCAAGGTAAGAAGTTGTTGATATTCTGTGTGAATTCGGTATATAAAAGATATATCGACTGATTTAACACTCAAAGCCTAACTGTTTCTATACTGGCTCTCGGGGACGTTGCATCGATCCTGCCATGACCCCTCGACGCGCCTCGGGGTCATGTTAGGATGCAACATCCCCTTGAGCCTCTCATAGCAGGCAATATACATGTATCTATAATGTGTACTGGATGAACACTAACATAGGCCCAAAATTTGCTTTTTGGTAGTTGAGGGATAAAGTATTAATAAATACGAAGACTATTTTTATGTAAATGATGCCAACCATATAGATAGTGGCTAATAAGCCAGACATTCTCCTCTATTGCATCTCAGACACCTCATAGTTTAGTCTTTCATATATTAAAAGTTGAAAATAGTTTGGACTTGACTTGCTCTTTAATTGTGACATTTTATTGAGGCGCGACAGCTCAGTCGGTAGAGCAGTGGTCTCGTAATCCGGTGACCCGAGTTCGAAACCAAGGTGATCAGCTAGTGCCCTTTGGTAAGGCATTAATCCTCATTACCAGGTCCCTCAAAGAGGACCTAAAGCCGTCGGCCATCTGGTTGCGTACTTACAAGCATTTATGCTTTCTTAGCAGTCAGGTAAAATAACCACCACCACATTTTAAAGAGCAATCAAACATGTGTGATTTTTTTCCCTATTATTAACAGCAATTCCATGAGGTGGCGAAGGAGAAGTTGAGGCTTTGTGAAGGTTTAATACACAACCAACATCTACAGCAACAGGGCTGGATGGCAGTCATAGCCAACTTGGATGACATTACTAGGTAAAACATCTATTTATCTTTATGTTTGTTTGTTTGTTGATTAATTAAATGAGTTATTTTTATATTTATTTATTTATTTTATTTATGTATTTATTTACTTCTTAATTCAGTTATTTATTTATTGATTGATTGATTGATTTATATGTATTTAGTTATTTATTTTTTCATTCGCTCCTTTATTTGTTTATTTATCTATTCATTTATTGTTTCTTTCTTTTTCTATCTATCTATCTTTCTTTCTATCTTCCTATCCTATCCATCCATCCATCTATCTACCGGTATCTATCTGTCTATCTCTCTGTCTATTCATCTACAATGTAGTATCTATTTAGCAGTTTAGTGCTATATATTTAGTCTGTTTACGTGGTAGCCCTTGCCACTGTAAATGGTATGTCGCCAAAAGGCCACCAAACATCCAAAATTTCAGGTGAAGTTAGATCTAAAGTTAGCAGTCTTTACTTGTGAGATTTTATTTTCTTTCACCTGTATCCTAGTCTTGCACATTACAGCAGGTACAAAATCCATATTGTAATATTAATTCAGTCATTTGTTTCTGCTATGATAAAGGGTTGTAAAGACCAAACCATTCAATTTCACGCACAAGATTTAAAAAACAACAACTAACAAATGACAGTAATCATGATAGTATCAACCATCATTGGTCAGTGTTTTACATGAGAAAGATTTTAAGGTTCTTATGGAAGATTAGCATTGATGCGTGAGGCAAGGGGTATGCAGGGAGTCTGTTCCAGCACAAACAAAGTCCATGTGCTCTGACCAATAGGCCTTATCCGTTATTGTTCTAATTATTTGACCGCCGGTCCACCCGTAGAGTATAAAACACGCTTGCTCACAATATATTTGTATCACCTTACGAAGTGTAGCAGCGGCACACAAAACGTCGTGATCTTTTGATCCCTTGTTGACCATACATAGCGAGATAAATGAATGTCACTAGCAATATTATTTTCGATAAAGTCCATGTTATTTATTTTGATCGTGTTCTCGTTTCACCAGTGCCTTTCAACAGAGAGCACAAGTGTTCCAGCAGAACATGACAGACTTCCTATCTGACAGACCAAACTTCCTTCAGCGTCTAGAAGAGTTTGGAGACATCATTGAGATTCTTGAGAAGACGCCCCTTCTACCTTGTCTTAGAGAGGGGGACAGAGAGGGGGACAGAGAGGGGGTCAGAGAGGGGATCAGAGAGGGGGTCAGAGAGGGGGAGAAGTCTCCGTCTCATGTGATGGACAGTGCACAGGACAGAGAGGTTTCACTCATGATGTGGATCAGTAGACAGGTAAAGCTTAGCTACAGGTTTTTTCTTTTAAAGATGAAGTTGAGTTCTGGTCATGCGATTGCATTGTGAAAGAAACGTTGTGGAATCGATCAGAAAAGGTTGATCATTTAGCACATATTTTGCAAGGTTCTGGAATCATCAGAATGATATTGAATTTGGCCAAGTCGTGGTAAAGTTACAAGCACTGTACACAGAAAGATGTATATGGGACTACACGAACACGTGGCGTAAAAATCCGTCCCGATTTGTACGATGTTACATGCCCTATTTAGAATATGATGGCCTTTGAAAAGCCATGATTTTTTAGGGAACATGGCTTATATGATGTTCTTCCACATTTGCATTATAATAATGATAACGCTCACAAATATTTTTCACCCCTTTCCAGAACTCAATCTTCTCTTTAAGGATGAGGGGGGGGGGGGGGGGGGGGGTGTTCAGACACATAACATTTTATGAATAATATGCATCAAACAGGGCTAAACTCCATGAGTTTTTTTCATTAATGATATTGCCAACAAAGCATTTGAAAGTTTCATGGAATGTTAAAAATGCAAATTTTTTTAAATTACTGCTAGAAATTGGCTGTCTAGATACACAATAGCCGTGTTCACATGATGGCAATTTTGGTCGGAATAAAGGTCGTGTTTAGAGCTATTTGGCGTAAGTATGGTAAGGTCGGCGTAAAGGTCGGCGTAGTGACCATCTGAACGATAGTCATGTTGGCCATTGGTCTGCGTTCTGCCAATACATCAACTCTGATCATTCCTAAGACCAGACGATCATGGGGAGATCAAGCATTTGCCTCAGCAGCTCCCGGATTGTGCAACAGTCTCCCTAACACACCGAAGGACTGTAAATCAGTAGATCATTTCAAGGCCAGTCTGAAAACTTATCTAATTGCCAACTTTAACTAATATCATCTTTTTTACCATGCATGATGTGTATCTAAGTATATTATGTAGCTCATTGTAAGCGCCTTGAGCACCCTCTGGATGGATATGTTGCGCGTTATAAATGTCTTTATTATTATTATTATCTTTTGCTTGTGTAGGATCAGCGCAGCACTCTACAGCAGATGGCTGGACAGTGCAGTAAAGTCCTGGATCAGTTCAATCAACCAGTCCTAGACAGTCTGGCCACTGAGATTAAAGGATGCTTAGGTAAATATGGCTCCTAGAATTTCTTTGACTATGAAAAGGAGATAGGGTGGTAAATAAAGTATATTTAAAAGCAAAAAATCAAGTATTTCAGAGTTTTTATAAATTCCACACCAAGAAGTTTCTTTATGATGTTATACAGTATGTCAGATTAATGCCCACACATGCCCAGTCAAGCAATTTTCATTAATATTTCAGGAAATTTTGCTCTATTTCCTTTGGCTGTCATTGTTGTATCCTCCCTGTATAGAGGCTGTAAGCAACCCTGGAATGAAGGAAATCAAAGGTCTGGGAGAGAGACTATTTGGACTAGAGCAGCTCTTACTACAAGCTCGTAAACTTCTCAATGAACAAGCTGAAATGGCTCAGGTGAGTATTCAGAGAGAGACAGAGATTCCTGAATTCTCCCAGAAGAGTCTGATAGGCTTGTTTCTCTAGAAAAGAATTCTGTATTTACTTATGGGAATCACGATGTTTTTTAAAAAATGATTTTCATCCTTTGTTATGCCTCCGCCACCGAAGGTGGTGCCGGAGGCATCATGTTTTCGGGTTGTCCGTCCGTACGTCCGTACGTCCGTACGTCTGTCCGTACGTCCGTCCGTACGTCCGTACGTCCGTCCCGTTTGACCGTTATCACAATATCTCAAGAACCATTTAAGATTTAAACTTAAGACTCGGGAATAGTATTTATCACCATAGGAAGACGATCTGATTAGATTTTGGAGTACGTAGGTCAAAGGTCACAGGTCACAGAGGTCAACTTATGAAATTCCTTGTATTGAGTTTGTTAGCGCGATATCTCAAGAACCATTTGAGATTTAAACTTCAAACTTAAGGATAGTATGTATCACCATAGGAAGACGATCTGATTAGATTTTGGAGCACGTAGGTCAAAGGTCAAGGGTCACAGAGGTCAACTTATGAAATTCCATACATTGAGATTGTTATCATGATATCTCAAGAACCACTGGAGATTTAAACTTCAAACTTAGTGATAGTGTGTATCACTATAGGAAAACAATCTGATTACATTTTGGAGCACGTAGGTTAAAGGTCAAGGGTCATAGAGGTCAACTTATGAAATTCCATACATTGAGATTGTTATCATGATATCTCAAGAACCACTGGAGATGTAAAAACTTCAAACTTAAGGATAGTATGTATCACCATAGGAAGACGATCTGATTAGATTTTGGAGCACGTAGGTCAAAGGTCAAGGGTCACAGAGGTCAACTTATGAAATTCCATACATTGAGATTGTTATCATAATATCTCAAGAACCACTTGAGATTTAAACTTCAAACTTAATGATAGTGTGTATCACCATAGGAAGACAATCTGATTAGATTTTGGAATACGTAGGTCAAAGGTCAAGGGTCACAGAGGTCAACTTATGAAATTCCATACATTGAGATTGTTATCATGATATCTCAAGAACCACTGGAGATTTAAACTCCAAACTTGTTTAAATTGCTCTATGGCGGAGGCATCATTTTCGACTGCGCGCAGTCAAAATTCCATCTAGTTTTGTATGATTTGTTCTTCTATGTAATTCTTTTGTATACACTTTGTTTTGCCGAATAAATAATAATAATAATAATACATTGTAGATTCAGCAGTAGTTGTGCTTTGTTTGCACTCATACATACATTAGGCTTAGAATTCATGGGGTTAAAGGTAAAGACCAGTTCTGGTCATGTGATTGCATTGTGAAAGAAACATTGTGGAATCGATCAGAAAAAGTTGATCATCTAGCATATAAGTATTGGTGTGTACTGCAAGGTTCTGGAATCATCAAAATGATAAGAAATTTGACCCAGTCTTGGTAAAGTTACAAGCACTGTACACAGAAAGATGTATATGGGACTACGCGACACGTGCGTGATATCTATCCGTTCCAAATAGATATAATAATTTACCAAATATATCAATTAGTAGGCAGTTTCTCTGCAAAATTTGTGTCATTACTTATTAGTCAAAACATATTCTTTCCCATGATTGGTAATAAGAGCTTCCATTTGATATTTTGAGAGGCGGGCATTTCCAAAACTTGTCTTTACCTTTAAATTAAGTATTTGTGAAGAATGAATGGGTGGATGAATCTTGTTCTTATGTTAAATCCTACTGAAGTTATATCATTTTATTGAATCGAATCGAATTGAATTCGCATTAATATTTCATTCTCGATAAAAAATTACATTGATACAAAAGATACAAAATTATTCATGAACAAATTTAGAAATGAAATGGGGAACTACATAAATAAAGCCCTTAGGCCTTGTACAAGCATTGTTCCCAAAGCATTCATAGCATAATCTAAAGCAAAGATAAACAAAAACAAAGATTTAAAAAAACAAAATGAAATTATGCAATGAAGAATGATTATATCATCAGGAATCATGTAGCATTAAGCAAATGATTAATACCAAATCAGGGGGTGTTTAATAAAGCTGTTCGTAAAGTTACGCATGACTTTATGAACGACTTGTATATGAAGTGCCAGATAGGATGCTCAATTATTTTCCTGATATTTCCAATAACCTCAATTAAATTATGGCAAAAAAATATACTTTGCATCAAAAATGTTTGTAATAGTAAGAATGTTAATCTACATCTGCACAGTTCAACTTTAGTTGATGCAGTTAATAATGATTGAACATCACCTTTGGCTTTTCATATACAAGTCGTTCATAACGTCATGCGTAACTTTACGAACAGCTTTATGAAACACCCCCCTGGACAAATGATTAGAGAATACATATTGTAATTATGATTGTTTCTTGTTTGTTTGCTGCTCAGGGACTTGTTCAGAACCAGACTCGAGCTAGTAACGTGAAAGATCCCTCTGTATTACCAGACCTGTGCTTGAGTCATCAACAACAACTCACCGTCATGTACAAGAAGCATTTACAACTTACAGATATGAGCAGGAGATGTGAGATAGCAAAAGAAGAGCTCTGTCAGAATCTACATGTTAGATTAAGGTACAATCTCATTATTATATTTCATTAGGTTTGTTTGTCTGTCTGTATGTTTTTGTCTGTGTAGGTATGTAAGCAGGAACACAGTCAGAGCTAACGTGTCAGATTATGACGTACATGTATGATCATATCATTGTGTCGTATGTCGTTCTCTCCAGAGAATAGGGACTTTTAGATTCGCACGAAGACAATGGGGATTGCTACGATCGACGTCCTTTTAACGCACTGCATTGAATGGACGTCACACGTATCAGTCCACGCAAATCTAAAAGTCCCTATTATCAACATGTGGTCAACCAGGGGGGCGTTTCACAAAGCCTTTTTTCAATGACAAATGACAAAATCAGTGACAAATCTGCTGATAACCAATCAGAAGCAAGGATTTCAGTAGCTTATAACAAAAACTGTCATTTGTCACTGATGACAAGTTTTGTGAAACGCACCCCTGGTTTGTGGGTTCAGAGGTCGCTAGGGAGGCCGATGCAAGCCATGAGTTTTCTTAAGCAATGAGGACAAGACCACAGTATCAAACGGTCTTGGGTTAGGAGCATGTAGCTCGCCGACTTTGCATGATGACTTCTTGGTATATGCTGCCTTAATCCTGTGCTTTTCAAAAGTTGATGCGCCTTTGACGGGAACATGCCAAACAGAATGATTCTGAACTCAAATGATGTGGGGTGAATCCAAAAGCCTTTACAGGATGTCTTCAGGGTGTCCTTAAACCTTTTCTTTGAGCCACTAAAGGATCTTCTGTTCTATTTGTTTTTATTTTTGCTTAAAAAATAATTTGTTTCACAGTTTTATTGCTCGTTCCTGACAGAACGACATCGGCCAAAACAAAGAAACTCAAGTGACGTCATGCTTTAGCAGTACGCTGTGTATGTGAGTGGCCTAGATCCGAAGGATCGATAAGTTCGCTCAATGTACGCAGCAGGGTTGGACGGGATGATACATCCCCCAGCAGTGGACCAGCGAAGCACAGACGCACAGAGTTTCCAAGCCAGGAATTATTTACGACTTGACTATCACGACACGACTTAGAACCAGACTAGGCGTAAATAGTCAAATCTGACTGAGCGCCATAAATATAAACAACAACAACACTAAAGGATCTTACATGCATTATATACTTGGTGATAGTATGATGTGAGGAGTACCTCTATCCGTCAGGTTTAGTAGCTTACTGTAAGAATCTCCAGCTGATGGATACAAAGCAGTAACATGCCTTTAAAAAAATATTTAAAAAATAAAAAAATAAAAAAATTATGACTCTCTTCATCTTCTGTCTCTACTTTTTTTTCTCTCCCTCTCCCCTCTTTCTTCCCTCTTATCACCTTGTCTCATTTCTCCCCCCTCTCCTTTCTCTCTCTCTCTCACTCTGTCTATCTCTCTCTCTCACTCTGTCTCTCTCACACTCTCATTCTCTGTCTTTCTCACTCTCTCTCACTCTCTCTCACTCTCTCTCTCACTCTCTCTCTCTCTCCCCTCCCCCTCCTCTCTCTCTCTCTCTCTCTCTCTTTCTCCCTGTAGATGGGTGATGTATGTCGAGCAGCAGGTTAGCAGTGTGCATGGTAAGATGGTAGTATACCATGAAAACCTCAAGAGACTCCGCAAACGTCTAGAGATCATCCGTCAGGTTTGCATGACACCCAGGCTCTATGCGTCTGCAGTGGTAGAGGTCTGCAGGAGACGACATTACAATACAAAGTATCATGAGGTTAGATATATTCATCCACTTGCATTGACAGTTTAAAGGGATCGTTTAACAATGGTAAATCTGAGATGCACGGCCCTGCGTGTTATCAGTGTCTGTGATATGGTGTAATATTGAAGCCCTAAAAAATTTGCGCTTCAAAATAATTTTGATGCCTCAAAAAAGTAAAAATCTTTGAGTGACCGGTTTTACCATACTTGTTTACCCCCAATAGACTGTAGTGTTATGAAAACCGTTTGGCAAACGGTTTTCGAAATTTGTAATTCCAATCATAAATATCTTGATAATCAGACAGGCGATCAGCTTTTAAAAGTCATAGGGTTCCTGACTGACCTAAAGGTTTATAAACATCATTGCAGCATGAGCTAAATCCAGGATTTTGTTTCAGAATCTGAGACAAAGTTACTGGATCCCTTTAAGCAAAATGTTGTGTACCAATACCAATTTAGTTTACAATTAGGCCTAAAAAAAAAAAAAGATGTTATATTGCCCTTTAGGTGCCAAAACATGGGTCGGTTGGTCGGTCGGTCGGAAATCTTCTTCTTTTATTTTACTCCCTCTTTGAGCTGATATAGTTTTGAACGCTTTAATACATTTATTTTCTCTCTAAAAAAAGCCGACCGTAGATTTCAAGATTTTGGGGGCGGTCGCAAAGGGCAATACAACATCTTTTTTTTTTAAGGCCTTAGTTGTAAACCACTTAGTTATGAACTAATTAGTTTTGTTAGTCATACATTCACAGTGATTTTTTTCGTCTTCATATAGCAAAGTTAGGTAAAGAACATTGATTTCTGTAACAATATTCAAATCTTATTAACTTTATAAAAAATAAATTATTCTGTAATAATATTTTTTTTTCAATAGCTTATCCAAAATTGCAACATTTTACTTTAAATTTTAATAGAAAAATAAATGAAATGAAATATTTTTCTTGTTGATGTATATATAGTGGTCTGGGAGAGTGAGTCAGACATCAGTGTGTGAACACGAAGAAGAACTGAAGAGAAGAAAACAGTTTGCTTCCCTCATGCACAATCACTTCCTCAATGCACTCTTCCCTGGATTCTATGAACTGCCTCCAACGTTTGCAGTAAGTACTCATCATTTTGTTTGTCACGCTAAAAATTGAGAGAGAGAAAGAGAGAAAAGCAAAGAGAATAGAAGAGAGAAGTTTAGATAGAAAAGAGAGGAGAGAGAGAAAGGAGGAAAAAGACAAAAAGAGAGGAAAGAGAGAAAAGCAAAGAGAAGAGAAGAGAGCAGTTGAGAAAGAAAAGAGAGGAGAGAGAGAGAGAGAGAGAAAGGAGGAAAAAGAAAAAAATAGAAAAGAGAGGAAAGAGAGACAGAGAGAGAGAGAGAGAAAAGAGGAAAAAGAAATAGAGAGATAAAGAGAGAGAAAAGAGAGGAAAGAGAGAGAAGCAAAGATAATAAAAGAGAGCAGTTGAGAGAGAAAAGAGAGGAGAGAGAGAGAGAGAGGGGAGCAAAGAAAGACAGAAAATATGTGTTCATAGAAAGAGAGCGTTAAGCTAGAATTTACAGATCACACTTAACGAGATCGAGTGAAAACAAGGAAAGGGTAGAAATAGGAACAGGAAAAAAAAGGGATAAGAATGAGAGGATGATATAAAAATGGAGTTTCAATTCCGAGAGAGTACACTGTATAGGAACAATGTTGAGTTAGCTTACTATTCATTTCATAACTATTCTTTATTTCACTTGATATCCTAATGCACAGACCACACCTCCTGGTAACTATGACAACTCCCTACCCAATATCATGGACAGAGACATCCTTTTACTCAGGGAAAAGGTGCCTGAACTCGCTGAAAGTCTAGAGTAAGTACATGATCCTAGTCAGATCCTCTGGCAGATTCATCATCATCGTTTAGAGTCCATTTGTCCCACTTTGTGGGGTTGGACATTTCATTTCTTTAATGGCCGCCTTCCAAGCTTTCCTGTCTGAGGGATCCACACGGCCGACACCCGATGTTTTGGCATCCTCTTCGATGGCTTCCCTCCAGGTTTTCCTGGGTCTCCCACAAGGTCTTCTTCCGGTGACAGAGAAGTTTAGAGCCCTCTGGAGCCAGTGTGTTGCCTCTCTTCTTGCCACATGTCCAAACCATTTAAGTCTATTCATCCTCATAACCTGTGCCACCCCCATCAATCCCATTGATTGAAGGAGGACTTTGTTCTTCTTTCTCTCGTGAAGTGATACCCTGCGCATCCACCTCACCATCCTCATCTCAGCTTTCTCCATTCGCTGTACACTGGATGATTTCATTGCCCATGTTTCGCTCCCGTACGTCATGCATTTTCTAACACAGGCATCATACACCTTCCCTTTCACTCTTAACGGGGTCGCCCTTGAGGTGAGGAAAGGAGAGAGTTCACGAAACTTTTTCCAAGCACTTTGGATTCTTGCAGTCACAGCTGCTGTCTCTCCTCCTCTGACAGCCAACATGTATCCCAGGTAGCAGAACTTATCCACCTTATCATATGTCGTTCCATGGAGATCCAGACCTGTCACATTGTCACTGGTACATTTCTGTGAGATTGTACCTAAGCACCTCTTACAGATGAATGTCTTACTTGCTGCTTGCAGGCTACCACGTATTCTACTGCATCTGCGATGGACCCAGCTCCTGCATTTGGTGCATCTGATTGAGTTGGCTCCAACACCTGTATAGCAAACTCCACAGGGGTACTCTCCTGTTTTCTCTGTCTCACCTGCATCAGCAGAAGACACCATGACCTTGGACTTTCCAACATTCACTTTCAGACCCTTTCCTTCTAGGGCTGCTTGCCATGAAGACATTCTAGCTATCAGTTCTTGTTCGCTCTTAGCCATCAGCACCAAATCATCTGCGTAGAGCAGTTCCCATGGAAAGCTTTCCCGGATGTCCTTTGAGATGACATCCATTACGATGATGAAGAGGAGAGGACTGAGCACTGAGCCTTGGTGAACTCCTACTTTGACATCAAAGCTTTTGCTGTCACCACACGATGTTTGGATGTGTGTCTTTGCTTCTGCAAATAATGCCATGACTGCTCGTACGAGCCACTCCTCAACACCTGCCATCCTCAACGCCCATCTGACAACCTCCCTTGGTACTCGGTCAAAGGCCTTCTCTAGGTCAACAAATGCAAAGTACAGCTGCTGCTTCTTTGCAAGAAACTTTTCTTGCATCTGACGAACGGTGAATATCGCATCGATAGTTCCCTTTCCTGGCATAAAGCCAAACTGCATTTCATCAACTGCAAACTGCTCTCTGATTCTCTTTTCCAGAACTCTCTCGTAGATCTTCATGGCATGCTCGAGAAGCTTGATGGCTCGATAGGACCCACAGGCCAGTGGGTCTCCTTTCCCTTTATAGAGTGGGACTACTGCACTCAGAGTCCAGTCAGATGGAATGTGACCTTCATCTAGAATATCATTGAACAGATCTATCAACCACTCAACACCATGCTTCCCTGATGCTAGTATGAGTTCCGTGACAACTCCTGATGGACCAGCTGCCTTTCCCTTGCTGGAGAATAAAAGGGCGCGAGCAACCTCACCTTGTGAGATGAGACATCTCGGCCCCTCTGTTGCGTCACACTCAGTGATCCCATCCCATGAGTTTTCAACATTCATGAGGCATTCCATGTAACTCCTCCACGCTTCTTTCACTGAAGCAGCCTCAATGACAATGTTTTCAGCCTCATCTTTCACACAAGTTGGGCCCATCACGTCCACAGCAGCTTGTGCCATCTGCTTAACTATCTGGAATAGTTTCTTTTAATTCCCTTCTGTTATTTCCTCCAGAAGCTCGCTTCTCTTGGCCTCCTGGGCTTTCCAAATCACTTGCCGTGAGTTTCTCTTTGCTATCTTGTATGCTTTGTGGTCTTCCTCCCTCCCTGAATGATTCCAGATTTTAAACTTTGCATTCTTCTCCTCAACAGCCTCTGCGACATCATCATTCCACCACCAGGTTTCTTTGTGTCTGCTTTTTCCTCGTGTCCATCCACACACCGCTGCTGCTGCCTCAAGCCAAATCTTTTTCATTGCCAGCCATTTATCTTCTATACCACTGGCCTCTTGGACCTCTGCATGTCTGGATTCAATGATAGACCGATAGTCCTCCTGTACTTCTTTCTTCTGAAGTTTCCAGATCTGCAGCCTTGGCTTGAATTTCCTTCGTTTCTTCTTACCGGTCTTTATGTAGAGGTCTGCAGCTACTAGGTGGTGCTGAGAGACACATTCCTCTCTGGCAAATGCTTTCACATTCTTCACCATGGCCCAATCAGTGGCTCTTACCAGGATGTAATCAATTTGGGTTTTGTTTCCCCCAGAGTCGTATGTGATAAGGTGATTGTCTGGTTTGTTGAAGAAAGTGTTTCCAATCATCATTTCCATGGCTTCAGCAAATTCTAGAATTGTCTCCCCCTCTGTGTTCCTTCTGCCAAATCCCATCCCTCCATGCGCACCCTGGTAACCATCTGCCAACTTGCCAACATGTCCATTTAGGTCACCTCCTATGATGATCGATTCCTTATCAGGAATGTTTGCAACAATAACATGCATCTGATCCCAGAAGGTATCCTTCTCCTCCTGTGTCCTGCCTGACTGAGGTGCATAGACAGAGAGAATGTTGATAAGTTTGCTACCCATGACTAGTTTAAGTGCCATGGCTCTTTCGCTACTCCTGTCCATGCTAATCACTTGGGTAACCCACGTCTCGCTTATCACGATCCCTACCCCAGCAGTACCATCATCTTTACCTTGCCAGTAAAACTTATACCTGGCTCCTATACTACCAAGCCAACGGGCACTGCCTCCTTTCCATCTGGTCTCCTGCAGACAACAGATGTCAATCTTTCTCCATCTCATCACATCTACTACCTCTCCTGACCTTCCTGACATACTCCCTATGTTCCATGTGGCTACACGTATGTTGTTCTCTGAACCTGAGTGTCTGATCTTGTCCTTCTGACCGTCCACAGCGCCAGCATCAGGCTGTTTGCCGTCATTATGGACACAAGTTCGGTCTCTTCTCCCACCACGGCTTTGCGTGGGTCGGTGGAGTGACCCACGCCGTCCTTCGGGCTGGACAGTGCCCATATTGTTCTGTCTTGCCATTAAATGAAATTTGGTGGAGCTTTATTTTACACCGGATGCCCTTCCTGTCGCAACCATGAGTGGCCTCTTCCCAGTAACTCTTCCGCCCGAAGCCGTTGGTCACCGAGGCGCAGCTCATATGCCCCCTGCAACCAGGAGCCAGTGGCCGACTTGTCCTAGATGCATGACCAACCGGGGCCATGCTTTGACAGGTGTTATTTTTCATCCTGCAGGGTGTCTAGGCACCCACCCACCGAGAGACTCAGTGGGGGGCCTGATTAATCGCCGGCCACTCGACCATGAAACTGGCAGTACAGGCCTTACATGATTACCTGTAGCAACAAAACAGTTGGCCAGACAAATTGTTGCCTAGAATCCTTAATATCAGCCTTTCAGACGTGTCTTACAAACAGTATGAGACAATACATGTATAAACAATTAACAGTTGTGACTAAATCAAAATGATTGCAACTCTGTACTAAAGAGATACAAGTTTGTATGTTTTAAAGGACTTGCGAGCATTCCAGATGACGCAACTCTTAAAAACACAGTTCCCTTGTTTCTTGTCAAATGCCATTAATTTTTGTGATAACCCCTAAATAATGCTAACTGTACAGAACTAAGGAGCATGACATATCTTTCGATTTGTAAGATGTGTACTGTACAAGGATAACAGCTACTGTATAAATCCAACAATAAAAACTGTAGGCCTACACTGTACTCCAATACTAAATATCTCAAACTTGTACAAATTACAACACATAACATCATGCATTGTGTGTGAGCTATGTGCATATGAAATATTTACGCTGTGTAGAATACTGTGCCTCTATTAGAGACTAGCATGGGCTCTTGAGCTACCTCTAAACCCATAGAAACGGTATGCACACTACACGTATGGATGGTTACATTATCTTCTCGATATGAAGGTAATAATTATACATACATAGCAGTCTGTACATATTCTTTACATCTCATCGCCATGTACTCTCCTATCACCACTAAATACACAGAATACTTGTATGTTCTTAACAATAATAATAATAACATTCCATTTTAATGAATAATCACTTGACAAACTCAATGAAATAATCAAATTCAATTTTAAGATATAGGGTTAACTTAATTCAGTGTTGTAGTACATATGTTTCATACATAAGTTGTATGAGGTTTTGTACATGAATAATCATTAGCATGCATTCATTACTCTTCAAGGTTTATTTAAAGTTATGATTGCAGACGTGACTAATACATGGTTTAAGATAATTTACATCTTATAATCAGGCATGATTACAATAAAATAAAGGAGAAAAATAGAGAGGCTAAAATTCAAATAAAAACATCATTCTTATGTTCAAAGGTACATATTGACTTTGTATTACTTTGATTGAAGTAGATTAATTGTTCCACTTTAGAAGTCTTTCATGCTGCATTTCAATATTGGTAGGTTTTCAGGCTGACCAATCATAAATCTTCCACTGGAGGCTGCCCTGACCCAAAAAGGGGCCAACGCCCCCACAATTTCAGGGATACAATTGCCCTTAACTTGATTTCAAGTTAATAGACATTCTGGAGGTCATGATTCAAAGGAGCTAGAGGCATCAAAGAGTGGACTCCATCTCTGCTGCGGCCGTCTCATGATGATGATGAATCATAAATCAACATAATGCATTGCATTATATTCTAAATTTCAGATGAGTCGCCCAGATATATATCTGACCTTACATGACCTTACATGCCGTCTATAAGATCAGTAGGACGTTGAAGTTGATCACACTGTTAACAGTAAAGTGTGCCATTATTGGATCATGATCAATTGAAGAACAAAACGACTTCATCTCATCTTCATCTCATTGTTCATCTCGTCTTGGTCATGCTGAGGTGTAAAGGAGATTATTCCCTATGATATTGTCCACTGTCTTGGTTGGTAGTCCAGTCACTTTGTAGAGATCTTCAATCTTATTGTACACTCCGAAAGCCTGTCTCCAGTTATGGATGAGCTGCGCCCTTTTCTCCCCCACGCTCTGGAGTGACTTGAGCTGTTTGACTGTCCCCTCGTTCAACGTCTTCAGGATCTTATTCCTGTGCTTGGCTTGAAACTCTGGATCTAGCTTGAGAGGCCACTGATTCTCCTTCATGTCAGTCCCAACTGCTAATGATGACGTAGATGCCATGACAGCTTTGACAAACTTGACAGTATTTGACTTGTGGGATGACTTGGGTTTCTTCTCTTTGTCATGCACCTTGGGCTTTGTGTGTGTCTCTTTGTTATGAGCTGGAACATTGCAGGTTATTTGGCCGGTTGCAACTGACAATGGTTTCACCACAGCTTGAGGTGGTGAAGGTCTATTGGGATCATTCAGAGTGAAGGTACTCCGCCTGTCAGGCTTGGTGGAAGTCATTTCTTTCTTCTGGTTCATGCTGCTTAGCTCTCTTCTCATGCCCTTCACCTCACTCAAGAGCTTCTTAGATGTTGGGGTTTTGACTTGTGTTGTGGCATTCTTCATTTGTTTGAGAAGGTTCTGTTCAAGTGAATGCAGTCTTTGATGCACGGTGGTCTCAAAGTTTGCTTGTCGATCCAAGAGTGGCTTGAGCATGGCATCTTTGCTATGAGCTACCGGTCTGCCATCTACATCTAGAGCTCTAGCCTTGGTAGATCTTGACCGCTCATCCTCCTCTAGTGGTCTCTTCCTGCTGGGCGGGGCAGCGATGGTCTGAGTGGTCTCCCTGGTCAAAGGTTTGTTGATGATCTGCTTGGACTTGGCAGCAAAGTGAAGGGTGGTGTAGGTGTCCATGTAGTTCTTCTCCTCTGGGGCTATGTTGGTTATCATGCAAGCATGGGAACTGCCTCCTAGAGAGTCCTGCAGTAATCTTGTAAGCTTACTGTCTATGTATGGGATTCGTGGCAGTTTCTGGTTGAGGGCATCTACCACCTGACCCAGTACAAACAGAGATGTGTCGATGGCACCACTCTCCTTCAACCTAATGCCTTTGTTACCAGTCTTCTTGTTGTTCTCACTCCCAGCGAGATCTATGAGATATAGTTTACCAGTCTGTATGTGATGCTGTAATCCGTCTTTTCTCTCCTTTACTATTTTGAGTAGGAGAATGGAATGGCTTCGGCTTGAGCGACTGTTCAGTTTAGTAGCAGCTGTCGTCCTATTTCTACTGGCTGGTATGAAATACTTAGCAAACTCATTAAAGCTGTTGATGGTTTTCTCTGCTAGCTTAGGGATAAAGATGTTTCTCTTTCTGTCCTCTCGTATTGAGAGGTCATGACCTTTTGGCTCCAGGAGATCATAAATCTTCTCTTGGTAAATTTCCAGATAGGAGAAAGATACTGAATAGCTCCACCCTCCTCCTCCTTCTTTTGGTTTCTCCTGGTTGATAACATGAAAGATGTGGTTCAGTGACCTTGGGATGACCCCTGGATTGTCTTCGGATCCTAGCATGGTGAATGTTTTACCTGTGCCTGTTGGACCATACGCAAACACACTTGCATTTTGACCATTGAGTGCATTGGTGAGTAGCGGCTTCACACATCTATCATATACATTCTTCTGTGATGCCTTGCTGTCAAGATATGCATCAAAATGAAAATGAAGACTCTGTTCTGTGTCTCGCCAGTTCCAGATCTCAAGGGCTTTATCAGAGAGGCCCCGCACGCAGGGCTCCTTACCGTCATCTTCATGGGGCTTTAATGCAGGTCTCAGACGGATAGCAACATGAACTCTGCTTCCTTGTTTGGATGACATTCTCCTTACGTTGTTTGGGTTTGTCGATTTAAATCAAATGATAATGATGAAGTGATGTTCCTACATGTACATGCTCGTAGTACATTCAGAGCCACGAAACACAAAGATAACGTAGCAATTGATCGCTGTTTCACTATCGACCTTGATGATTGTACAAACGATCAATCAATCGTGTGATCAATAGTTAACCTGATTTATGTAAGTTTCTAATAATAATAAAGATCTGAATTTATATAGCGCTCGATACGAATACCATCTCTAAGCACGTTACAGATATCCTTTCCCTGGGGAGTATTCCTACCATATGGTCACCGTGAGGGCGTATGGCAATCAGTAACACAAAGGCTCTCGTCATTCTATCAGGTCCCCATTTCTGATGTTGGTATGGAGTGGCAAATGTAGACCAATGCCTTTCCAAAAGACATGAGAGCCGTGTTGGTGATAACAAACACGACCTTTGCATTTCAAGTCAAATGCTCAGATCACTTGACTACACAACCTTTGCACTTTATCTGATCATTTGATCAAATGTTGATAGAAGTTAATAAAACCTATGTAATGATGCTGCTTGTAAGTATCGGCGTGCATGGTGATGTAGATATACAGTAGGCTTGCGGGTGCACCATGTGAGAGAGAGGGAGGATTGAGGAGTCCTGAAAAGGACTCTCGGTAATCTTTCTTGAGGGTGTGTAGTCCTGAAAAGGACTGTTGGTGTAGTCTTGAAAAAGACTGTTGGTTATCTTTCTTAGCTAATAGTTCTAAGGAGAACTATCCCACCACCCATCCTCTCCAAGCGCTAGAAAGATTACCGAGAGTCCTTTTCAGGACTCCTAAATCCTCCCTCTCTCTCACATGGTGCACCTGCAAGCCTACTGTGTAAACCTACGTAATGTATCTCATTTTATTTTCATCCCACCCTCCACGTAAAGAAAATGGTTTATCAAAATTTTAACATGGTTGTCACTGTACTGTTGCATTTTACAGGGCTTTCTTTTCTGTGTACCAGCTTTCCAGGCTTTTGGTTGATTCATTATTTTCTAGCACTCTGTCTTAACCCTTTATACTGTAGCACAGGCTATTTTGAAACTGCATGGCCCGGGGGGGGGGGGGGGGGGGGGGGGGGGGGGCTTCTAAGGCCCCCTCCCCCCATATGATCTCGGCCGTGAAACGACCGATCGCCGCAAAAATTTGCATACATGTCAAGTAAAGTATATAGAATACTATGGTAATTTCAATTTTTTGAAAAATTCACTCATTTGCATATTTATGGTAATTTATGCAAATAAGGTCATAAAATTCACATTTTTGCCCATAAATCAGACATTTTTCATATTTAAGCATTCTTTTTCACTACATATATTTGTTAGACCATTTGGAATATAATACAACACAAAAAAATTGAAAAACCAGGGTTATTCCTTATGTTATCTATTGTTTTGATAATTTCTTATGTATTTCTCTGTTTTCTTAACTTATGTATTTTATTGTTTTTGTTGTTATATTTCATTTCCAACTATAATTCAACTATTTTGACCCCAAAATAAACACCTAAACTATAAACAAGACCAAATAACCAATGTTTTATCTCTTTATTTGAAAAATGAGATTTCCATATATTTTGTACACAAATCACAAAAAAGAGCCATTTTCGGGCTGACATGCAAAGACAAAAGAACATGTGACTTTGTAATGATAGGTCCGATTTTCGAAAAAATTTCTTTCAAAAGATGCGCAAGACTCGAAAGAAAAAAGTCACAAAATTTCAGTGCAAGATTTTGTTGCATTAAAAAATTAATGCGAAAAATGTCGAGGAGGGGGCTTCTACAGCCCCCCCCCCCCCCCCCTCTCTGGCTAGATAGGGTTAAGTCAATATAGTAAAAGTATTTGTTTTTCCACAGATAGTTTTAAGTGTCTGTCATTTAAACTCTATTTCTCTCATCCTCTCTCTCTCTCTCTCTCTCTTCATTTTTCATTCTTCCCTTCTCAGGCTTCCATCCGATGAACACTTCTCCTGTGATACCTCACAATGTACCAAGCAGCTGCCACCTCGTCCACTCTCCACAGAGATTGAAACTAGGACAGAACTCCTGTCTGAGGAGCCTACAGTTCCCTCAGACCCCCTTCAAGGACACTGCGATCTAGCCTCCATAGAGAGCCACTCTGACAGCACAAAAACACTCACAGATGCCTTGGTTGAGGGTGAAAGACCAATTATAGGAAGGCAACTCAGCCAGCCCAGATTACTATCCCTAGATATGCTTCAGACAAAAGACACCCTTCAGTCTCCTGAGACTCCAGAGCTTGATGCAAAGTTTGAGTCTGTTTATAGAGATGCGCCCTTTTCATCTCTGCTTCCAGAAGTTGATAGTGAGTTTCACTCAGCGATCGGTAGTCCTATGGATGAGGGTCTGGTGAAGAAGGCTAAGATGGATCAGATCCTGCCTGCTCTAAGACCTATGGAGGAGAACCAGACCCTGAAAGAACAGCTCCAGGAGAGAGAGAAGATCTTGGAGGAGCTTGAAGAGCGAAAGATGGTCCTTGAGAAGAAACTGAGTGATTCAGAGTGCATGATTGGTGACCTGCAGGAGAGCATTAGCACTCGATCTGAACGTCTGGAGGAATCTCAGAACGTGGTGGACTGCCTAAACGATGTCGTTCAGACACATGTCACAGAGCTTAGGACAAAGTGTGAAAGTATCAAAAAGTCTGTTGCAGAGACCAGGCAGCAGATGAAGACAGAGGTTGTAGAAGCAATGACTAAAATCACAGAACATTCAGCCCAGGTTTGCAAAGATACAGAGAGAGTGCGTTTATCCGCTGTTCAGAAAGCTGTTGGACAAGCTCAAGTAGGATTTGAAAAAGAGAAGGAGAGGTTAGGCAGTCAGATCTCTGAGCTTCATGAACAATTGGAGGTGGCTAATCAAAGACTACAGGACCTAGAGTGTAAGGTCAGAGAAAAGGAGGATAGTTCTGAGATGCTCAAATCAAAATACCAGCAAGACTTGGAAGGGGTGAAGACGAAGATGGAGGTGGAAGAGAAGCAGATGATTGCATCCATGAAGATGGAATTAGAGATGGAGATAGCGGAGCTGGAAGCAAACATACAGGAGAAAGAGAAAGAGATTAAACAGCTTCAAATAGAATCTGCTCAGAAGCAGGAGGAAATGGCCAAGAAGTTCTGTGAAGAAAAGATGCAGGAGCTTGAATGCCTGAAGAAGGAGATGGAAGCAAAGCACAAGAGTGAATTAAACAATCTTGAAATGGCATCCCAGAGCATGCATGTTGATGAGTTTACAGACTTTAAGAAATCCAGCAAATTGCAGATGGAGAGTGAGTTAGAAAAACAGAGGAAGCTTTTAGGGGAGGAGCACAGGGAAGTCATTTGTAGGGTGGAGAAAGAAGCGGAAGAACGGTTTAGGATAGCTAGGGAAGAGATGCATGCTTCTTGGCAGAAGACTGTGGAGGAAGAACAGAAGCAAGGTTTAGCTGTGATGGAAGAACACCAGAAGAAGATGGAGGAAAGAACCAGAGAGATAGGTGAACAGAGGAAGAATATTGAGGAAGAGAAGAGGAAATTGGAAGAGGAATTGAAGGAAAAGTTCAAAAAAGAGTTGCAAGAGTTGCAGGAATTGAACAGCAGGGGTATGGAAGAAGTGAGGAAAGAACAGCATGAAGAAAAGATGGAAAGGAGACGAGTGGAAGACGCAGAAGCTGTTGAAAGGATGAGAAAAGAGCTGGAGGAACAGTTTGAGGCCAGACTTGCTGAAGTGACGTCGTGTAGGGACAAACATGAAGCTGAGTCAAGGAACCTTCAAGATGCTCTGTCACAACTCCAGACTGAGATGGGTCAGAAGGAGGAGGAGCTTAATGCCAAGTGGGCGGAGTCCATCGCCACGGAGAAGAAGAGCTTGGTGCTAGCTGCTTTGGAAGAGCAGAGGCAGGAGGAAGAGAAGAGGTTGAGAGCATTGAGGCAGAGACTGGAGGAGGAGAAGCAGGAAGGCATCAAGATCGCCGTGGAGATGGCCAAGTTTGAGCAAAGCCAAACTGATACACAACAGGTGAATAAGCAAATCAGAACCTAAATGATTTTTATGCCTTATGTTTTCAGGCTGTCCGTCCGTCCGTCCGTACGTCCCGTTCTTGTAATCACGTTATCTCAGGAACTGATTGATGAATTCCGGTCAAATTTGGGTCATGAATGTATCTTTCAGAGCCAATGAACTGATTAGACTTTGGGGTCATGAGGTCAAAGGTCACGGGCTCATTATGCATGCAAAAGTAGCTTGTTAACGCATTCTTATTAGAACTGACGAATGGATTACTAATACTACTATGAAACTCAGAACATATATGTATCTTGCAGAGCCAATGAACTGAGTAGATTTTGGGGTCATGAGGTCAAAGTTCAAAGGGTCGTACATGTAAATGAAAAATAGCTTGTAATCACGATATTCTGAGAACCTGTAAATGGATGACGATCAAACTTGAATTTTAAAAATTAATTCTGTTTTTGTTTATAAAATTGCTTGATGGCGGAGGCATCATTTTTTACTGTGTGCAGTCGAAGAGCCATCTAGTTCAATCCAGCAATTATGTTGTCTTGATATAAATTGAATGGTGATTTCCTCATTATACATATTAGTTATTTGTAAAAGATTATCACATTTAACTTTCACTTCTTATATAACCGTAATGTCAAGAGTTCCCTCTTTATGCAAATTTGCTAGGTCAAAGTTATATTCATTTTACATTTAATTATTATGTATCAGTGCGTATAAAATCATGAAATGCAGCTCCCATTGGATTGCAAATGTTGACCCTTTTTTAGTAGAAGTATGTTTCTACGTCTCATACTAACCAACACACAACACACTCACACAAACTCATACACAAAGATCGTTTAAACACTTTTTCATTTTAAATTTTTACCTTAAGATTTTGTTTTTGTTTTTTTGAGGCCGCCATCCTTGTCAAGCTTTGCTTATGATTGCGGTCACCTGCACTTTTCCAAGAGAATAGTTTGAATAATACTTTAAATTTATGATAATATGTTATGAAAATATTAAGTTTTGTTATTATATGTACATATATTATGTAAAAAAACATTTTGATATGAAGAAATTATTGTTTGTTTATGTTGTATTATACCTTACATTTATATGTTCTTTGGTATTCAGTTATATTATATTTGGAAAAAATGCAGAAATCAAATCAAATCAAATCAAATCAACTCCATGATTTTCTATCCATGAAGGCTGCATCCATTTCATCCACGGAGGGAATGACAGAGAGTACATCCTCAGCGCCCCCGTCCAGCATCTCAGCAAGCCAACAACAAGTGTCATTCAACAAGGCAATTGCAAAGGTGTCTGCAACAAAGGATAAACGCATTGCAGAGCTGGAGGCAAGAGAGAAGGAATTGGTAAAGGAGCAGCATAGATATAAAGGTATGGGATTTTATGCCGATGAAATGTAATATATCCAAGATTACATTATATTGTTTTATATGACCTGTGCAGGTTTTACTTATATCAGTATAATGGTAATGCATGGAATAGGTTGATGTACATTTCTTTACACAAGGCCTCCTCGAGGTTCATGTGTATGTTTGCCTCATGTATATTTTTACTTTTGGCTTCAGACAATAGATACATACAGCCTCAACTCGAGTGCGAGTAGGTCGCATAGTGACGTCATTCGCATTCATCATGTAAAGGTGTTGTGGTCAAGTGGATAAGTCACCTGACTACAGATCACAAGGTACAGGGTTCAAATCCTGACACTAACATCTTTTGGCAGCTTTAAAGACAATAGCTTACATTTGCCACTCTCCACCCAGGTGTTAAATGGGTACCCGGTAGGATGCAATGTTAATGAAGTTTGCTCAGCATTGTGGCTCATGGCTGGAATGCTCCCAAGGGAGTGGAGAATGTGCATAAATTCTGTGCAGGCAAGCCTGAATCAGATGGCTTGGGTAATATTATATCTGTACAGTGCTTAGAGACATCGTTGATGTCTCTTTTACTTCTTATATAAACCGTAATGGCATCGTTGATGCGCTATATAAAAGCGGAATTATATTATTATTTAATTTGTATAATTTTCCAAAGACAATTTTGAAAAACTTTTGATGGAAAGGACGGATCTTGCTGCTGAGCTTAGAGCTTCTCTAGTCAAAGTCAATACATTTGTGTTTAACCAGGATTTGCATACACAGAAACTTTGCTGCATGTATGATGTATTAATACATCGTAAAGATAGTATAACGATAGTAAGCAAATAATTTCCGTTGGTCGAGATGATAGGACAAACTATCACTTCAGTGGCGATCTGGATGTAGCTATCTTCCTGAAGTGAAGCTGAGGAAAGATAGCGTATACATTCAGATCGCCGAGGAAGTGATAGTTTGCCATCACCTGAAACCAAAAGGTGATTATTTGCTTTATATTCCACATCGGAAACATTTCACTTCTTCCGTCATTTTAGAGCAACAAGTATTAACAGCTAGCAAACGGTGTACGGCCTTCCGTACAGTGCATGCAGTACGTATGTATATGCAACGTATACAATCTTCAGTGAAAGTGTGTTGCACTGTATAGATAGTACTACTATCTTCGGTTAAAGTGCGTTGCACTGTGTAACAAACTTTTCTTCTCCCATCAATGATGGGCAAACTATCTTTCATCATGTGATATGGAATATAATGTGATAAAAGTAAAGTATAATGAAAGTGTAACATATATAAAGATAGCGATATCATTATTATTGCTATTTTCATTGTTATCATGTACAGACACTATTGAAAAGCTGCTGATGGACAAGACAGACCTTGATGTAGAACTCCAAGCTGCTCTAGCCAAGGCACAAGAAGGAGAATGGCAAGCAATCAGGGAGAAAGAAAGATTGGAAGAACAGTTAAGGGCTGGAGGGAACGAAGAAGACAGAGGTAGCCCTGCTGAACTGGTTGTGTCTACACAAAGGTAAGGCTTTAGAGATGTGTTGTTTGGTCTTAAATGATAGAGTGATAGAAGAAAGGTCGGCTGGAAGAACAGTTAAAGAAGGATGAAGGTAAAGAAGTACACAGAGGAAGCTCTCCTGAACCAAAAGACATTTATGCTGAGATGGGGATTTGAGCCCCGTACCTTGTGTTGGTTCATCAAACAATCATCCATGATAAACTCTTGCGTATTCAACAAAATGTTTGTAAAATGTACT